TCCTTTGTGCCCTTTGCCTTTCCCTATTCTCACCCATAACTACCACCTCCTCTTCCTCAATTCCCCCTGTGGTCTCTTGGCTCACTCGACTTCTTTCTCCTCGATAAGAACTACCACCATCCTCTTCCTCTCTTCCATTACCTCCCAATATTGCCACCTCTTCCTCATTCCCCCTACTCTCTATTCGCATTCCTTCTCCTAGCCGCTCCTCCTCCCGTTCTTGTTCCTCCCCCTCTCTGCTAACGCTTGCCCCATTTTCCCCCTCCCATTCCACTTCTCCTCCTGTATCCTCCTGACTAACGAGTGGTAGTTGGCCCTCCTCTTCCTCCTCCGGATTGTCGTTAGAGATTGCTATAAGCAACTGTTCGATCGTTGCAGCTGTATCATTTGCGTTGTGGCCCGAGTCATAGGAGACTGGCGGTCGTACATTGGGTCGATCACCCAAAATTCTCTCCAAACGGAAGAAATATGGACACCGGGAAAGTAGCTTGTCTAAAAAATAAAAAAATTTAATTTTATTATATTGTAAGATAATTTCTTGTATTTTAAAAGAATAATTTTTTTTCTTACCTCGTAAACTTCTCCTGCCCTCATCTAAGTCCCTCTCTGATAAACCCCATCCGCTTTGATTATTTAACTTTGCTGCAGCCCGATAGGATTTCATGATATTATCGTACTTGTACCCAACCTTAATAGCTTCTTTGGTAGGAATTTGGACTGCGATTTCAGCAACAATTGTTTTCTTCGTAATTCCTGAACCCTTTTTGATTTTTCGTAAATTCTCAGGCTCTTCAAGCCATTGAATTACCGTCTCCGTTTCGGCTTTTGTCCAAATCGTATTCTCAGAATAATCGCGTGGCATTTTGGTGATGGGGTTGTCTGATCATCTTTCCTCCGGGGTTGTCATCTTGGTATATGAAAAATTTTCTTCTAAATGTACGCTAACTTTTACCTATACTCGTTACTTTTCACTTTTCTGAAAATTTGGGGGCCTCAACTATGATACTATATTTTCTATGATGCTATTGGACCATCACCTTTAGTAAACTAATGCATGTTCTAGTACCTACTTGTTTCTTCTCACATCTGTTTTTAACTTTGAATACCCCTACTACAAGCCATATCCCAATCCAGGTAACCAGCTTAAAGGCATTACGTTCCATCAGGTAAGCCAACCAAACAAGGGGTGGGAACCTTGGCACGGTCAGTTAGAGAGGAACAACGAAGGAAGATGGACCATGAACTGGACTTGAAAATTTTGTATTTTTGTAAAATCCTAGAATTTATTTGCTTAAATAGGTGCAAACCTTCTGCTTTAAAGGCGCAGTCCGGCTAAAACATGGATCCTTCCACCAGGGCACCTCTGTAATAACCGCCCCACACCCCCGTTTTGGCCCTCAGGCATGTCGGTCAAAAACCTCCTCCGCAGGCCTAGGGAAAAACAAGCCGCCCCAAGTCCCTCTGGTATGGGACCAACCGCACATCCTGCACTAAGAAAACTACAGCTCCGCCCCATAACCGCAGAGCCACAACTCCCAAAGCACCGGCAGGAAGCGACAAGAAAACCCACACCGTATTCTCTTGAGAAAGGAAATACAAAAGAAACCCAAACAAAAGAAACCTCCTTGACATGACATCGTCCCACAGTTTTCTCCCGGCCCTGCCATTGAAAAGCAGGAAGGTTAACATGGGAGAACCATTTGGTGTAATCGTAGTGTCAGGGAGCATTCGACCAGGGCGTGCCAGCCCCCCCTTTGAGTGTATCCGAGCCAACCGACCCAATCAAGACCTGAGACAGTGCAATACCGACCCCGCAGCCATAGTGTCGACCCGTATTTTGCGTCCCTACTTGGGGGAAAGGACCAAGCAGGTGGGAAATTCGAAACCTCACAGGGCGTAGAGGCGAGATACCAACCCAGGAGGGAGGAAGGAAGAGTTTAGAGTCCAGTCTGGCCAGAAGACAAAGCCCCAGCACGAAAGGACGTGTTTTGCGTTACCCAAATGATGAAAGTTGAGTACCCAAGCCATATGAAGCCCCAAGAAAGTTAGGCGAGGGAAAGATCGTGAGGGGGTGTCTGGTGTTCTGGCCCCTAATCACCTTCCCGATTAGGAAGGCGAAAAGCGGGGTCAGGAAAGTAGCGGAAAGGAAGCTTGAACTGGACTTGAAAAGACTGTGCTGTACTAGTACTAGTACTCGAGTACAGTAGCTGGATTTTCAACCCCCCCCCCCCCCCCCGCCTCCTCCTCGTCCTCCGACTTGGAGCGGCGGGACGGACGGATGGAAGGGAGGGAGGCAATGAATCGCAGGGGTTAGATTTCGCTTCCGTAGTCGAGTACCGGTAGGGCAGAGTACGCTGCATCTACTCGGGTATGATATTTCTTTTGGGGGGGATATCCGATGGCGGTCGATTGGCGGTAGCGGGATTGTCTAATACGTTCGATGGTACCGTGCCGGTAGGTGCCATACTGTACCTGTACGGGTAGACTTCTTCCCGCCCTGTTAACCCGTCTGGAAGGGTCCTCACGCGACATCGTGTAGAGAAAGTAATTGGCCGGAGGGATCCGAAATGAAGCTCCCGATCGCAAGTTCCCGCAGTTCAAAGAGCGCCTCTCGACTTCTCCTTCCTCCACTTTCTTTTCTTTTCTCCATCCTTATTTTCAAGTGGTGGGATGGCCCCGACGATATAACGCCACTCTTAAGACGGCCAGTTACCGGTAGTCAGGCACAGTGCGAGCAAGTGAGCGGTTTTGACCGTCTACCGTGCCGGCATACGGTTTGTGCGTGTCGTACCCGATGCCGAACCTTTTGACGTGGTATGCATTCGTCGAGTCTCTAATTGTGTGCTACGCTATGCGACTGCCCATGACGCCCCCTTTTTTTCGACCGGTGAGCTAGGAATGTGTGGTGCAAGTGCCGGTACTGGTGCAATCACGGCTAGGTGTGAGACTGGCGATTGTACGGGTGCTCGTACAGAGACCCTCTGAGGCGGGAAGTGCTTTATATGGTACGTTGTTTTTTTCTCCCACAATATCGTAGCGCGGCGGCGGAGGTTTCTCCTATCACTTGGAATCCAAATAATGTCTTGCGGAAGTGAGCACTGTACTTGAGTACCGGTATTGCCTTGGTGTTGCCTCGGAAATAGCTCATGGGGGTGTGAGGGGGTACGGTAGCTATTTGTGTTTTTGCCAGTGTTTCTCTGTCCGAGGGAGGGGCCTCTGCGCTAAGTTTTAACAATATTATGTGGTTACCTAATTGCACCCTTACTTGCTGTTCCCGGGTCTGGGGGGGCCGACCGGGCTTGGGGATGTGCTTTGACAAGTGGATGTTTATTTGTATGATAATATCTAGCTATCTAAAAGAAATCATCAAAGCTTTTGTCAGCGTCCTCCTTGATAAGCTCCAGCATGCCCTGTATCTTGAATCAGCACTCAACGTCCTGATTGGTATCTCCGACCTCGACCGGAATGGTAGGGATACCTCAGGCATATAGGGTTCTCCCTCTTTACCCTTCACATATCTGAAGGGCATCTGGGTGGACTCATTCTTGTTGAGTTTCAATTCCGGATAGTCTGCGTACGGGATCTTGGCCAGGGGTTCTGTGGTAATGGTGCAGCTTTTTGTTAGTCTCTAGCTGCCTCCTGAATGAAGGTTTATGAAGGTAATCACGCTGCTCTTCGATGACCATCCTTGTAACTCTGACTGCGGTGTCAGTAGTCATTTGAATCTTTCCTAGTTGGCGACCTTGGTACCCATATTTTCTTAACTCCGCCGTACGGTCTGATCCCATTTTTTGTTAGTGATTTGGGCTGAACGGGAAAATTTGGGGACGTTTCTTTATCAGGGATACTGGTACCTCTTGGTGGATCGTCGCCTGTTTCAGCAAGATGCTACGGTATCAGCATATCACACTCTCCGCGAGCGACAGGAACTGGGACGGCAGCATGAATGGTAACACAAAAGGCTCGGAAAAAAATCGGTAAACGCGGGGTTTCCAGAAAGAATAATATTGGGAACAACAGAATTTGGGAATTAACGACACACCCAAAATCCCCCCAAAAACGAAAGCCTCAAAGACGTCCGCATCGGCGGGACTTAACTCCTCTACCGCCTGCGGATCAAGCAGGCAAACCCTATCCGCGTGAATCTCTGGCAGCTGCGTGACCTCGCGAGAAGTCACCTTTAACGGAGCATCGATATACCGGCGTAAGGATTCCGGAAGATCTTCCGCAAGCGAGGGCGGCACGGACGTTAGGTAGAAGTCGCTTCCGGAGGCCGCGGATTCGGTTGAGATTGCGATGTATTCTAGCGTGGACCAAGCGCCTATTTCAGGCTCCATATCTGACAAGGCAATGTGTTCTCTCGCGTTAGTTTGGAAGTGAGGAAAGGGAAAAAAGTAGAAATCAAAATTTCCATATTCTCCCCCTTCTTTCTTTCTTGCACTATTGAAATCCCTCAGGAGATTTTGTTCTAATTATGCTCTCCCATTTTGGGCTCATTTTTTGTTTTGTTTTGCATGGCTTGGGTGTAATTAGAGCGAGGCGTAGAATTGGCGTGAGAAGGGGGAGAGCGGGGAGAGGGGGGGGCAAAGTTAGAAACCGGGTAAGGGCGTATTTACGTTCTACGACATAAATTCTCTTTTTGCCGGCAGCGGGAGTCGATGTCGTCGGGAGCATTATCAAGAAGGGATGCGCTATTCCCGGGATATATTCTGTACGGTTGCAGACCTGCAGGATCATAAATATTAGCTACCGTGATTTTAGAGTAGATGGCTTGAAAGGGAATATATAAACTTGATGGTGGGGGGAAGAAGGGTAAATGGAGATGGAGAGGAGAAAAAGCTGGAGTACCGGAAGCGATACACAGAGAGCGCCTGAGTGTCTGGTGGTGGCTTGGGGGTATTCGGGGGGAAATAAAAATTGGAAGCGGAGAAGGCGATGGCGGCTTGGAGTGAGTGGATGGATGGTGGGGCAGATTTTGATAGAGGAGGGGTATCGTTAGTTTCGGGACGGTTTGATTGAGTATCGCGGGGTTTACATAATCAGTCACAACCCTCGGGATTTTGGTGGATGATAGGCTATGTCACGCTAGGTATCGTATCATGCTTATTTGTTTGTGGGGAGTGGGGATTTGGGGTTTATTTGAGTAGGGGATGTTTGTTTTACCATTTGTTGCCGTTTTGTTCATCTCAAGAGATTTACCCTTTTTGTTGCTTCATCATAGGGCTAATGGCAGAGCACTTGCTCAGGTGCTACCAGAGTCCTGAATCATTGCAAGTCACTCGACTATCGATCTCTCTTTCCTATCAATCAGGGGTAGTTAAGAGATAGAAGCGTAGGGATGTGCATTATGGAAATGGCTTCCTTGATCTTCAAGGCTAGATAAGGGTATTTCTTAACTTCAAGAAAAGAAAGAAAAAAACTACCCCAAGTCCCTACCCTACCCCTACCTCATCCCTTCCATCATACCACTCCCATCCACCGCCAACCTCTGTCGCCCAAACAGGGTTTCCAAGGCTCACTCCCCCCCACCTCCAGTGCTCTCAAGCCCTAACCTCAGAGTGTTTGTGAATATTACGCTGGCCCAAGCATGATATGATGAGTGTTTCCCCCTAGAGTCTAGAGCTTAGGCGGTGGATTAGTTGGTGTTTATATTGCTTTGGTGTTCATAGTGGCGTATCCTTGATGAGAAAATTGGTGGCTTGGTCTTGTGGGGTGGGGCATCGTTCTGCACTTGGAAGTATGATACGGCAAATCCGAGGTAAAGGATACTGGGTCCTCCATGGGTTCGCTGCGTGTTCCACCTGGCCCGGAGCACTCCGCGGAACGGTATTAAGGGGGCCAGAATCAGATCATTGTCCTGCATTGGCGTTGCGCCTTTGCCCTCAGAAAATCCTGTTTCATTTCAAGGCACCTCTGGATATAAGTTATTGTGGGGTAAACATTGCTGCGACCAATTTTCCAGGGAAATATGGCCTTGAACCACGCAATCCTAACAATCGAGTACAAGTAGTGCTTAATTCCATCCAAATTACCTGATTATGATCAGGTATCTAACGCAAGGCTGATGATATTCGCAAAATTTGATGAACAAGGGGAAAGAAAGTAAGTTAGTGAACAGCGCAGGGGGTATTCTGTCTTTCCACCAGCATGTTATCGACTTCATCTCATGTCTGCCGGGGGAATAAGAAGGTAGACACGTGGTGGGGGGTTTTTTTTAATAATAAAAAAATAAGGAATAAAAGAGTCAAAAAAATGGGTGTGTTTCCGTCGGAACAATCACATTGGATCGTTGAAATACTTCGCCTTCAGTAATTCCATCACGCTTCTCGTGAATCTCTTTCGTCTCTCGAGCCGGCCCTAAATAAATGCAGAAGACTCAGGGCTCTCAACTTTTACCAGCGTCTTTGATGCACGGCGATTAACAACGGGCCCAAACTGAGAATTCACGGCGTTTTCTATATCCCGGCTCGTTCTCTCGGCGAGAGCACTTCTACTCCTCTCTAAACCGAGTCCCTGGTTCCCAGAGTGAGCTCTCAGCTTACTGCTATTTTCAGCCCCGGTTTTGTTGGGGTAATAGTCTCTCATCCTGAGTTTTCCTCTTATCTTGAACTTCCCTCCAGCAACAACAACGTTCCCGTCTCTATCACGGGACGGCTGCCCCGCTGTAGCGCTAATAGTAGGCGGCGATGGGGGAGGTCGAAGAGGTGGTGGAGGCATGATGCAAGTGCTTTCTGCCCGGAGCATGCCCATGCTTTTTGGACGTCTATAGCGACTTGGTGCGTCTCCAAATGAGCCCCCTGCAGGAGAGGACAAAAGGGCTGTAGAACTCGTTTTGCAGAGTCTTCTTACCGGGGCAGGGGCATGGGAGCTCGGAGGCGTGATGCTTAAAGTCGCGGCTGATCCATGACCGTTCTGTGTGTCTTTCACGTCATTATCGCGAGGTGTGCTAGGCACGGGAGATAGCGCCTGTAGGGCTGCTATCAGCCTCACTTGTTCCTCGTCAGCCCCTTCCATTTTCTCCTGCCACCCAGCAGTGATTGAATCTATGTTCTGCGCCTTGTGTACTGTTGGACTATACAATACCGGGATTTGTGGAACGGGCGGGATGTAGAATGGATCGGAGTTCTTATCTCGACTAGGTCCTGCTGGATGGCCCCATTTCTGGGCAGCTGACTTCCTGATTGTCGTCGCTGCTGTTGCCGATATACCTGGCTTGGATCTGTCTGGTTCTGTAAACATAGTTTCCTCTTCCGGGCTCAAACCTAGGCCTGGGGCCATATAACACCCAGACCCCGGAGACCCGTGCCCCGGGCCGCAAGTATACTTCTGACCCTCTTGTGGCGCATTGGTTGGCCCTTCATCCAGGCGCTTCATCAAGGCCGAGTACACTCTCCTCGCTTCATACCTAGGCTGAGTCGGCTCCACCACCACTGATGGCTCATATAGGCTCTCTCGGATCCTGTGTGGAGCGTTTTCATCAATGATAGAAAGTCTCTTCTTCGGTGCAGATTGTCTATCTAGGGTTGAATTCCAAGTGGAAGTGCCATCCGTAGGCACGGAAACGCCTCTTATGGTGGAGACAGGTGACTGGGGTGGGTTAGGAGTGACGTCTCGGATGGAACCGGCAATGGAATGAAGCATCTCAAATGAAGGTACTGTACGAAATGTGGGAGCTCGGGAGACGATGTTGGAGCGGATCCGAATACTACCGGGTTCGGGAATGTCCCTGATATCGCTGTGAAGATCTGATGGCGGAACGAAATCACTGAAATGATATCGAGAGGCAGGAACATGCTGCTCAGGAAATGCATCCTCAAGCTTCCCACGAACTCCAAAAACTCGCTTCATGGACCCAAACACTTTCCTCGCCGTTTCACTCATAGCCTTTCTAACGGATATGAAATCTGTTGATTGCTCTTTGGGCACCTTCTTGGCACGCACTGTTTCAGGAAACGCAACCGGTTTTTGGCTCCTCCTACAGGATGCCGATAGGTAGAATGGTTTTCGCTCCTTGACGTATGGCTGCTGCTGCTGCTGCTGGGATGGCCTGTCCTCTCCCGCTTCCTCCAATTGACGGCGCATCGAGTCGGGCATGAATTCTGTACCCCCGCGAAGAAAAGACGTCGATTTCCTCCGATTCATCATCATTGCTTCCCTTGATGAGAGTTCGGGGGGGAGTGCAGCGGATGGCTTATCTTGCGCCCGCTGAGGATGCATCTGACTGACACTGAAAACCGATTTTGCTTTTCGGAGACGACGGTAAGAAGACGGTGTAGATGGCACAGGGGATCCCGGAGAAGAATAGTAGTCCGCTCCCAGATCAGATAGATTCATGGCACGGCGGGTATGTGAGCCAGAGGATGTAGGCAGTTGGAATGCCCCATTTCCGTCACCCGGTTGCTTCAAAGTCCTCAGCCTCGTACTGGCGGTGTTCTCTTGACCGGCACAGGTCGAACCGGCGGCACCGGCAGCTATATACGAAACATATGAGCCCAGGTCGGATCGTTCTGGCTCCTGCCTGTTAACGGAGTGGAATCCACCTGGGTCACTCGTTTTGTTCCGGTCATCGATAGGAGGCAGGAATCTAACACTAGAGCTGCGAAAAATGGTGTGTTCGCGTTTGGGGTTACGGCGTTGGATAGCATCGTCATAGGCTCTTTGAGCTGCAGCCACTGCCTGCCGACTCCTTTGTTGCGGAGCGAGCAGCTCAGACCTAGTAGCTGCGGGATGAGATGTGCTTTTTGCTCGTCTAACCCGGCTCTTGTCTCTGCCGGGCGGGTTCGGAGAGGGTGAAGAAATCGTGTAACGGCGGGAGAGCATCGTGACGTTCGTAGGGGTAGAAAGTATACGTCGGGAGGAAGCGGAAGGTTCATTGGTGATAACAAGCTAGGTTTGTTTGATAGTCAGTTCCGAAAAATAAGATGTAGGCCAAGTTATCACCTTACGTCGCAAGCAATAGGGACGTCATGTAGCATGGAATGAATAAACCACGAGCCTAACAAGGAGGTGTGCGTCACCAGATATCGTTCGATCGGACTTTGATTGAGGAAGCCGAAATAAAATATTGAGAAGAAAGGGAGAATTCTGGTGCTGGCTTTACATTCAATGCCGTCTATTCTTTAATATCACACCATGTATCATTCAACATCAGAAAGCGGCTTGAAGTGCGAAGAGAAATTGAGAAGGACACGGTTTACCCAATGCATATATAAAGAACTCCCTGTCATAAGAAAATGACCACTCCAAAGAACCTTAAAATACATGTCAAAAGTCCCGAAATCAAACTAGTACAGAATACCGCTAGGCAAGGCTTCCCATTGGATCCCAAATAGGGAGTGATATGGGATCCTGCTTGAGAACATTGAGGACCTCATTGCTTACGAAAGCGGGGTCGGTAACAACCTGGTAGCAGTACTCATCAAACCAAGCATCACTCATGAGCCAATAGCCCTTTTCTCCCGACTCGGCTCCCCATGAGTTCTCCACTATTGGGGAATTACAAAATCAGTCACTGCCAAATTATTCCTCAAAGCGTTCTGGGGGATGTGGTTATACCTCTCCACTTTGTTGGCTTCCCATCGACGATGTTGACTCCACTGAGAACCATAGCATGCGTCATTGAACTCTCTCCAGTGCGAAGCCGCTCAGCCTTGTTCATACACAAAGTGATGTTATACCCTAGTTCGTAATCAAACAAATCGGTATCCATAATTCCTCTGGCGCCTTCCGCGAACTTTCCAACATCGCATCCGAAAAATACAGGACGCTGTGCTTTGATCATGGCGATAGCTGTAGATTTCATAGCCTAGTATCCCGGGTCAGTCTCGATTTCGTGTAGGAACGACTTCCTGCGGTGTGACGGGCACTGTCCCGTGGGGGGGTATCTGAAGGGGCTTCACATCTATAGACACGTTGACATATTTAACCCCGCCCCCACCAACAACATTACCCAGCCTCTCGACTGTCAAGAGCCTGTTGTATTCGTTCCTGGGATCATTGACTAAGGAGAATCTCTCGGCAACGCCGCCCCTATCTCCACCACCCAAAACCCCGTCAATTACACCGGCACCGTAGCTTATGGTGCCTGTGTTCTCTCTGTAAAATTCGAGGGGAGTGGTGGTAATGGACCGGAATTTTCCGTCCTTATCGTGGAAACTCCAGGTGAAGGTATCATCGGGTTTGGGAGGAACGCCCAGGGACAGAACTAGGATGCCGAATATCTCTCGGAGAACCTTGGCCTTGTATTTTCCAAGCTCCCCACTCTTGCATGAAGAACCGAGCGACCGGCTAGACAAATCGGATATTAGCCTTTTCACAAGAGACTGTCCGGGCGCACTAAGGCCTCTGGCTTACAGGGTGAGAGCCGCCTCGCGAAGTTTGGCCGTAATGAGCCAGTTGATGCGGCCGGACGACTTGGAGTTGAACGAATCAGGATAGAAAGCTTGCGGAATCTGCGAACAAGTTAGCAGGTTGTCACAAGACGCATCGACCGGGATTGGGCGGCAACAATACCAATCCATATTTTTCAACTAAATTCACAACCATATCCCATTGACCGCCGTCACCAACAGGGGATTGCAATAGGTACTGAATCAGCCTTCCATCAAGATCTTCTTCTTGGGTATCAATAATTTCTGTTGCAACTCCAAGTCAGTCACGTGCGTCACCGGGAAGGCTTGAGACCGGGGTCTCCGCTGGATAGGAGCCGGTACACACGCTCCAAGAAAAAGTTGGCTTTCTCAAGCTTATCCCAGAAAAAGAGGTAGTTTTGGGATAGTTCAAACCCGGTCAGTTTGTATTTCTTAATTATCGGAACCCGGAAAACGTTGGTGCTAGCAAACAGCCAGCACCTTCCCGAGGAGCGCTGGTTGGTGACGGGGGTTCCTTCGAGCTCAATCTGGTCACTGAACACATGGGTATCGTGGAGGAGCGCCGACGGTTTTTGAAGGATGGCCGTAGAAGCGTGTGTGCTAAGAGCAGCAAGAGCAAGACGATTCTTCCACCAGGGATTAGCTGTGGCGCCAGTAATTGAAGATGCGGTTCATACCTTTGGTTCGGACAGAAGTTTTGCTTCCCACTTAGTAGCGGCTTCGAGTCTCAAGGAACGAGAGGGCTCCGGGTCCTCGCTAGAGTCCGTATCAGATAAGGTGAGGTCGCTCATCTTTGGTTCGAGAGCCGGTCTCCTGAATTTTTCCACGGTAGGCCATGTGGGACGGGCGGACTTGGATGACGAGGACCCCATTTCTACGGCGGAAATGTAATGGGGAAGGAGAGGACGGCGGACTCTGGTAGGAGTGAGGAGTGGAAAAGTGGAGGGAGATGGGAAATGAGAAGAAGGGGAAAGAGGCTCTTATCTATGTGAGCGGGTGGAGGCCCTTAGCACGGATCATGGTAGCGGTGAGGTACTGTACGGCGCAAGGTGTGTTCACATCGGGGTTATGTTCACTTTAGAAATGTACTGTATGTACAGTACATAGAATCAAGATAGGACTGGAGGCCGACTCAAGGTACGGGACTGTACGAGTACTGGAGCGCACCCGCACACATCTCTAACGAACAACCCGGCCCGCGATAATCAGCTCCAGTGCGCGGTAGTCTCCAACACAGGCTTTGGATTTGAATGCACGTACTGTAGCCGCTGTACAGTACGTTTTCCATGGTAGGCTTCGCCCTCTCCTTCAAGTTCCTTCTCCCAGTGCGAGTACGGTAGCCGTACGCCCGGTGGGTACGACAATCGACCATTACCAGGCTTGGAGAGCGCAGAGAGTCGTAGACATAATACCCGGGCCGCATGCCAACTCCCTTACAGGGATCTCCTCCATGAGGAGATTCTTTCTGGGCTTCTCCTCCCCCTCCCCCACAACGATCTCTGCCCATTCCTGTCCTGTGGACTCATGTACGAGTACTGTACTGTATGCAGCACGCGCGCTCGTCTGATATTATCATAAGCCACCAAGGTGCAAGCATTCGCCAAGAAAGATGAGCGGCGGGATCATCCGACAACATTCTGTAATTCCACAATGTGCAGTTCAGTATCGTGTGCCTTTTCCAGCTTGTCGCGAGTCCCCCTCTTTTGTCCTTGACCCTCCTCACACCCCACAGGGCAACTCTCACTCGGGCTTCAACATCATCGTGCTTTTCCCTGTTGTCCCCCCTTTGATTTACAGCCATCGAATTGATCACTTGTACCCCCCCCCCGTCTTTCCGACTCGACTACAGCTACAGACTGCAGCTCTCTACTGTGTAGTGCACGAGTACACGGTCTCGTGGCCCTCTCATACGTTTCATAGTATAACAAAATTACGTCGCGTTGCTATACGGCTGAGGGTATACGTAGGGAGAGTGGGGGAATCAAGAGAAAAATGAATTAATTCCCACCACTATCGTGCGTGTTCGCGTTGTCGTGATAGCGGACGGGTGTTGCGTCAAAGGGATTCGGGTAATAGACGGCCATTTGACCGAACCCTCTTCCCTTTGCTTCCCTATTGGCCTTTGTTCCCTGCAAATCGCGCAGCGCTTCAATCGGTACACCTTATTCACACAAGAACTCCATATTGAATCTTGATCACGCAGGGCTCCATGGACAGGTATTCATTAATTCTGCCGACATGGACTGTCTCATAACCTGAGAAGTGCGATTCAACGGATAATGTACCGCGCAGCACTCGCGCGGGCTTGCCGCCGGGATGAATGCTGCGAGATCAGATACTGTACTCACCCGGGCTGAGGTGGATTATTATATTTGGCTTGAGTTTCCCAGCGGTCATGGCCCCCTACGGAAAATCACGGTAAGCGGAGCGGGAGCACAAGTTTTGCGCGTTCCTGCCCTCGCAGGGCGCGGGACCGATCGGCTTGCATGGACTGTGTCTCGGATCGGATGGAACGGGATACGGTATGTTGTGGTCTGCGGCTCAAAACGATGGCGGCACCTAGGCTCAGCTTATTGTGGGTTCGCAGGTTTGCGGGCGGGATCCCAACCCGCACAATGTACTCGTACGAGTACTAGTGCGAGTGCCGTACCAATATCATACCAGCAATGTTGCAAGCCGCCGGGCTCTATAGAGATCTCTATCCTGGTTGGTGGCAGACTGGCAGTCAATCATTTAGGGCTCGTCGGGTCCCCCACCTCCTTTTGACTTCGGGGGATTACCGAGGTCGGCGCCTGTTCGGCTTCCCCCACGAGAACATCAGGTACGGCAGTGTGGGACCGTAGGTACCGGTACCGTAGACTGCCGGTACTGTACCGGCATGATACCTTTTCACTCGTAATAAAACAAGTTGTAGACATAACAAGGCCATGCCCTATGTTTCTACACAGGTTTGCTGAAACTGGGTTGTGACACTGGGCTGAAACGTGGATAGCTTCAAGGCGTCACATGCTCCCTGCGTGACACGAAGGAGGGGAACGTCAAAACAGTTGTTGAAGTCTTGACGGCGCTTCCACGGCTGGGGCGCTCTGCCCGTAAGGTACTCGTACTCGAGTACCGGTAGAGCAGAACAGCATTCCTGATCTCTAGATCGAGTCTGTGATTGCAGCCGTACACAGCACGGGCGGATACAGCGGAACCATGAAGAGGCCAACTTTACTCTCTCAGGTACCGTATGGTAACGGTATTGGTACTGCACGAACCGCCCTGAACCTGCACTTGAGGGCTTGCTTATGGGAAAGTGCACGAGTGTCATACTAGTACAAGTAGGGCACAAGCGGAGCTGCTTTTTGCCCAACAGGATCTTATTTGATCCATTTCAGTTGTTTCGTGCGCTGAATCGAGGATTGTCCCCTACACCAAGCGACTCTGGCAATGGTGACGGGTGGTAAGGGGCCATGTGTAATCTAGACTATCCTACTGCACCGGTACTCGTACTTGTAGTAAAGACTGCGGCACAAGCACGAGTACCGTACCAGTACGGTGCTCGTGTGTGCCCAGAAAATTCTATGAGCTCCCCCATTGTAGGCGATGGCGGTTCCGTTCATCCCATCCCACCTTCTCCTGCCTTTCTCTAGGGGCTTTCGTTGGCTTTTCTCTGCTCCGGCCCGTACCATGCGTGAGTCGGCTTTCGGTCTCAGGTCTTATCTGCTAGCCGCAGCTCACGGTCATCGCGCGCCCGGAGAAATTGCAAGCACGATACCCGTATCCGGCATGAAGCACTTGTATCTGAAAATGAGACACCGCTTTTTGCTGGCAGAGTGGTTATGTAACACAGGTCGTATTTCAGATAATTATTGCCGGGCACAAGTATACCGTATCCCCCCTCTTTCCATAATCGGCTGAAGATACCACCACTCCGGCTCCACACTTGGGGGACCCCTTCCGCTCTCCAGCCTTCTCTGCCCCTTCTGTTGCAGGTCCTGACATCAATGTTCCTGGCTAACAGCCCCCGTTTCGAGACCCCAAGCGAGCTATCAGATGGAAAGGGAACGCCCATATGTTCCTTTGGATCCTCCTCTTGCCTCTCTTCTCTTTTCCCTTTCTTTTCCTTTTGCTACTTTTCGCCCTTCAATAGCGACTTAGCCTTGCCCCTCCTCCCCCGGCCGAGTCTATCGCGACCTTTCTCTTCATCCCATTTGCGCGGCCAAGCTATCCGCTGCATTCACGCCCCTCTTTTTGCACTTCTTTGTAGTATACCGTTTATTACCTTCCCGCTCATTCCTTGTTTTCATTCTATTTTCGGTGTTCGCTCTGCTTTCTTTCCTTTCGGTATCTTGGGTATCTTTTAGAGGCGGGGCCTCGTAACATACTTACGACTCACGCCACGCATCATCGGAATATCACTCGACACACCCGTCGGCTAATTTCAGAGGATCGAACTCGCGAGTCCGCAAACAAACAAGCCTTTGTAATTATCCTGATGTCGTGCCTTCATTGGTTGCTTACTTACTATTTTGATGTTTTTGAAGATATAAACCTTGCACCCACGGCCTCCAGTCCAATATCTTTAGGATTGTGGAACCTCGAACTACTTGAAATAATAGTAAGATCTCTTGCTCGCTTTTCTTTTCGCGTACGCCCTGCTTGATACCCTCGTCTGAGTTTCTGGGGTGATCAGGGGCACCCGTTCGGGGCGGTGGTTTTTTTTTTGGCCGTCTTTTCTCATCTGTTCACAAGACGTTTGTTCCTTTTCTTGGTTTTATAGGACTTCATAGGCTTTGCCCTCCTTTCTCGGCAACTGGTTTGTATCCATTCTCGGACTCGGCCTGAACGGGGCACAGATTTCCTGGAGAGGTTGTGTATTTTTTATTTTAATTTCGGGTATAATAAGCTATCAACCTTTCGAACTGGCGAATTCGAGGGACGGGAGGCCACTTCTTAGACAGAAGTGACTTCAGAGCCGGGGGGCGAGCAGAGGGGCGCTAGGGCTCAAGGGTGATTGATCGTAATACGCAATCATGGAGGCCGCCGGAGTACTCTCGTCAGCGTTCGGACTGTAAAGCACCTTTGTCCATCGGGTTGGAATTGATACTGACCACCAGTGCTTTTTCTGCTATAGTGGAATTCTGCTTCACGCTTCGCAAGCAGCGTTCTTTTCAGCAATCAACGGTCATGTAAAGACATTATTTCTCCACCGTCGAAGGCTGGCCCTTCTAGCCTTCCAGCTCTGCATTTCTCTGTACTCAATATTTCAGTTCACCTCGCTGCTGCTGCTTACGGACTTGCCCTGCCAGATAGCGGTTCGGTTTACACTGTTTTTTGATCAGTGCGCTCGGATAGCGATATTGGGACTGGGTGTTTGGAAGGTGATTGATGAGTCGGCATTCAAGACGGAGAAGTTTGTCTGGATAGTGGTGCTGGTTTTGAGAGCTTTTCTTGGTGCTGTGGTTATTAGTTTTACGCAGAACAATTTTATCCCGGTGTGTTTCCCAGAGCCTACCCAAATGTTTGTGGGTTATACCGCTGTCGGTTTCGACATAGCCCTGTGGGTACTGCTACTCTTGAGGATCGTGGGGCTTTGGGGACTGTTTGCGGACCAGGGGAGAGGTGGGAGAAGCGAGGGGAAAAGCCAGGGCTATGGAATGTTTTTGATAGCACTGAGTGTATTGGGATGGTCGGTGGTAAGTGATTTTATTATTCTGGGCTCTTATTGTGCCCCTGAGGGAGGCTAACACCAGGATTAGGGAAGCTTTCCATACCTACTAAAGGTAGGAGAGAGTATCTTTGTTAGAATGATCCCATATATCCTGACCCTAGGACTTGCTCTTGGTAAGAGCCATTATACCTGAAAAGAATAAAGTAGAATGTGGGAAGGTCGGCTAACGCAATTTGATCCTTTCAGGTGTCCTTGCTCTTTTCCCCTCCATAGTGTTTTCTGTCCCTCTCAAGTGCTCGAATGGCTTCTACGGCTCTCGTATGCAACGTTTAGGGACGGTTGGGGGTAGCCCTCGACCAGCAGGGCCTTCGTCATCACCAGCATTCAAGCAGAGTCCTCCTCAAACTGGAGATATCGAGTCGAATAAGCACACGACGGGCTTCTGCCCCCGAGATAAGGGGCGTGCGACCCGGGACAGCAATGTGTTCGGAGGTATCATAGGCGCGCCTATTATCCACCCTGGTGCTGCTTTGCCGTGGCCTTTGGATAATACTACAGGCCCTGACAGCATACAGAGCACCTTAAAGGCATATCCGGGAGGGCCAATTGGTGCAACATCTGTTGCCCTCCAAGAAAATTCAAAGAGAAAAAGTCTGGTAGAAACGCTCTTTCCAGCTCATGCGGGCGGAAGAGCTGGTATCTCAGGACCAATACTTCGTGGAGGCGGTTTTGCGGAGCCGAGTGGCGAGATTTCAAGTCCAAGGGCGACGCCCGCCGCAACCAATCCCTTTCCAAAAGTGAGGACGGTATCATTGCGTGCGGCGAAGGAGGCAGAGAGACAGAGGATCGACGCTCAGTTCGAAAGGGATCAAAAGAAGCTACAGGATGCGGCGGCTACAGCAGGGGACAGTGTAACAACACCCACGGCATTGAAGAGTATCCCGGTCACGCCGAAATCAGGAAAGACCGTTGAAAGGACCACAAGTGTTAAGAGAAAGCCAGTGTTTCCAAACGATACTCCTGGGCTTCCATCAGGCCCAGCCCCTAGGGTGAGTGCTGTAGTTGGCAAACGGGGACCCCAACCCCAACGGAATAAGGAAACTGAGACCGAGCCTGAAGCCGGACCGGAGAGCCCTTCCAGCCTAAGGGAATCGGTCCTAGCGGCAGCAGTGGACGTCAATTGGGGAGCAATGAGATATAGTACAAACACATTTGCTACTACGGATGATGATGACACGACTCGTTATACCGCATATTCGAACTTGCCCCACCCACTTCGAGCGCCTCCGAGAGAGGCAGGACCGGGGGGGGCCGACGGGGGTACGGATGATGACGCAAAGGTTCTGTTTGTAAACGAGATCGTTTATGATCACCCGGCCCTAGTTAATTCGCTTGTTAGAGGACCGGATGCCCAGGAGGGAAGGAAGGACATTGGCCTGACTACCGCTAGGTCCTCAGGCACCCCGAATGGGACCACCGTGACCGTCCGAAGGAGCCCGTCGTCCACCAAGCGACCGCAGCTCCCCACGACTCAAGAGGCGGATGAGGCACCCTCGGTGCCAAGTATTTCAGCCTCGGTTATGGACAGACCAAGACATATCCGAAAAGACTCTGGGAGGGGAATCTTTCCTCCAGCGAGAGATTCCGAAATTGTTTTAGAGATGAAACTCAAGAAGGCGGTCAATACAAGCAAGTCTTTACCACCCCCACCACCGCCTACAGAACCCCTACCTCCACTGCCGGCTCAAAATAAAGAATTTCCGGCACCGGCCATAGTTCCTACCGAAGCGCCCAGAGAGAAAAAGGTGGACAAGAGGCCCACGGAACTGGTTTTCCCTATCCCCCCTTCTAGAGGACCATCAACAAGGAAACCCGTGCCCCCGCCAGTTAGCATCGAGCCCCTCGGACTAATATCGCCAGAAGTGGTGCGCATGGTACCGTCTTCGCTTCTAACAGAACCGAAACTACGGCTACAAGAAGAGAGATTATCGGTTGCACCCAATGTTCCCGAAAGATCCGAAAGCCGCATGGATGTCATTTCCCCCTTCCCCGGGGATGACATCGACTCTGCCACAATCTCAGATACAGCCTATGAGACTGCCAAAGCATGGATAGCAAGTGTGGCTTCTGTTCGCATGTCAACTGGTGCCCCTGTTTTGGTTAACGTCGAGGGAGGTCATCGGGTTTCTTATCCCAAAGGCTCCGGCAGAGATTCTTTGACCATTAAGCCCTTGCCTGCGCTTGCGTATGATGGGGATGGTTTGGGTCCCGGAAGTAGTAGTATTTCGAGTTCCACTTCTAGCGCGGTGTTGCGCAAGAGTGTACTTTCTTTTATCGCATCGCCGAAGGACACCCGCGGTGATGGGGATGTTACGGATGTGGAAATCGATTCGGGTTCTGAAATCGGGGATGATGAGGATAATTATGAGGGGGTCGGGGACAGCAGCAGTGGTACTGAGACAACACAAAGTGAGGCTGGCGAAATGATCGGTGCTGGAGGCGAGGGATACTCGACGGAGGACGATGAAGAGGACGAAGAGTACCTGACCGACAGCGACTCACAAGAATTTTTCGGTCATAGAGATGGAGTCGTTATTTCGGGGATGGACGATGGGACCGAGTTTGGTAAGATCGAAATGGCCGAACGTAAACTTAATGCTAAAATGGATTCTATTGCGAATGCCATCCCAAATATATCGGCATTTCCCCGTCACTTCAACATTGGTGATCACATTCCTACATTTTCAGAGAGTAGAAGGAAGTATGGCAGCAAGAGGAAGCCACCCCCGTCCCCTCTGGGGTTCCTGATGCGCCAGCGGCATATGTCCCGACAACCGCCTAATTTACAACAGGATAGAATCCAAGCTCGACTCACTTTGCTCGCAGAGAATGTCAGTCGAAATGTGGCTGTTCTGGATGATCTCCTTGCAAAAATACCAGCGGAGGCAAAAAGCAATAGGAATACCCGGGTCAGCCTCACCTCTGACGGTCGTAATTCACTCATTGCAAAGCTTGAGCAGGAAATGGGACAGCAGGAGAACCAGTGGCATGGGATGCAGGAAGTTCTACAGAGAAACTCATCAGCATCCGCCCAGGAGTCCCGGCCATCCTCGAGAGTTTCTACAAATCTAGCTCAACGCCGCTCACTGTTTGAGAAACTTAGTAGCGGAATAGACCGACGCCTAAGCACTGCACAGAACTCCACTACTACTGTCTCGCGGAATCTTTCTAGGACTACATCTCACACATCAACACTATCATCTAGTATGACGGCTGGGGCATGGCAGAGGCAATTAGCAGAGGCTCAAATTGAGTATCTACAGCATGCACCGTGGAAAAGCAACAACGTAACAACAACAAATGCTCTCGTCAAGCCTTTCGCCATCCTGAAAAGTCAGGACACACCCGTTTCGGTGGTCTCGGAATCCGAAGAGTACGGGTATGACTCTGTAACTGACTCCGAGGATGATGGTTATGAGGACGGTGAAGATGAGGAAGACGGTATAATCGTGTACGATGGTTTGGAGATTGGGTCACCGGCTAATGACGAATTATGTCGAAAATCCTCCTGTAGTAGTGACCACAACACCAACTTTCTTATGCAGCACGAAGGGAAGGAAACTATCACTATTTTGATCGAGGGGTCCTCCAAGTCATCTACTCACAGGAGTGATGAGGGGTTCGAAGGATACGAAGCGGAGGAATGTCTCGAAACACTACCGGCTACCGTGTACTCCCCTAGCATGCATTCTGAGATATCGGTTACCTGTTTCTCGCCTTCAATGAAAGTAGTATCGCCGGCCGAGGGGGCCTCGGCGTCCCTACTATGGAGCCCCCGATCTATATCCCGAGAGAGAGAGCAGGAAGCTGGGGAGACTTCTCTTTGGAACAAAAATCGTCAATCCGCCCCAGCACCACTATCCCGCCCAGCTGCTATGGGTGTCGGGCCTTTTCAACGAGTATCCTTGGAACCTCCAACCATCAGCAGCACTGAACTTTGGAAAGTGCGGAGCACTGAGCCGTTGTCTCCACGATCAGAGATCTCAGTTGAGATTTGCCTATCCCCATCCATTCAGGAACTCTCGCCGAATCCGGATCAACTGGGACCGTTCCCGCGGAGCCCGCAGCCAAATTTCCCACAAATCCCACAAACTAGCATGCTTTGGAGTTACCGTTCATTGGCATCAGAGCCTCCGGTTGGCTCTCCCGCCGCAATCGGCGTGAGGCCCCGCCAAAGTACATTCTTGACCCCTCTAAGGATTTACAGCACCAGGCTCTGGCGCAAGCCGCGCTCACACCCGACGTGTGATGAAGGCGGATTGTGGACCAATCGCAAAGTATTCAGGCCGAAGAGTATAATCACACCAAAGTCCACAATCGTAGCCTCAAAGTCAAAGGGAAAGTCAAAAAGAGTAACATTTGTCGAAGAAGTAGTTACAGGTCGGATCCCATTTCTCAGTCAAAGTTGTCAGTCGCTAATGAGGTCATAATAGTCGAGCCTACTGGTTTCTTCGGAAAACTCAAAAAGTTATGGGGAGTTCAAGAGACGGTTTCGGTGAAGCAGATTGTCGAAGTTCCCGTCGCAAAACCTATGGAAGAGACAACAGAGATTCAGGCTCAGAGTGATCCCAGAGAGCAAGAGAAGCCAATCGTAGATATCGTTCAAGAGATCACCTCAAGATATCGGAATAAAGCACTTCCCGGGCCCCCAACTGGGGCGGATCAGCCACTGCGGGGGATCAAAACACTCTGGTCGAGAGAAAATATTGAGGCGCGGAGACAATTGGCTGAAACTAGAGGGATGTGGGCTGTCCCGTCGCAAAAAGCTGCCCCACGGGAGAATGAATTTAGGGACGATATTTCGGCAATTCGCGCGAAACGGAGAGCCCCAGCGCTTCTTCCGGCTCTCACTTCTGCGCAGCTTTGGGGAAACCAGAATTCCTCAGGAGTTCACGTTGAACCCGATGAGATCACTAATGTGTCCGTAAACCTCTGGTCTCCCCCTCACAAAGCTCACCCTCCTCTAGAGGCTGTAATTTCTGATGGTTTTCATGAACTCGATGCTGAAAGCGCGGATACTTCTCTCCCTGCTGGATCCACTACCGGACTCTGGAAGCCGTCTTTAGATTTGGTATCGGACGAAAATTCAGGCACGGAAGAATTCACCCATCTTTGGCCTTCTGCAAACGTACTAGTCTCCAGAGATCAAACCAATCTTTCCCGCTCGACGAAATCCTCTCCGTTGGCTCTGGCAGCTCTTATCTCAGCCGGCCTTTGGGCTTTGCCCTCTAGAGTTCCTCACAAACAGGGACTTTGGACCGCGCCCAAGAAAATCACCGGCCTCTGGCCTCAAGGAGAGCGGCTTCAGAAGCCATCTCCAGGTAATCTTTGGCCGTCTGCATCCCCACCACCTACCATCGAAAATTTTGTGGTTCCGTCTCACTCCTCTCCTCGCCTACTGGAAGCTGCTGTTGTATGCTTCAAATCCACCGGGCTCTGGAAAATAATTGCCGAAGAATCAACAGAATCCGGCTTGTGGCCCGTGCCAATTGGACGGAAGGGACTGTGGCCTGAGGGCGAGACTGAGAGGCCAGTATGCATTGGAAGACTTTGGACTGCTCCCTCTGCTCAATCCGAGACTGTCCGAAGAACCAATATCAAGTTGGTCATGACAAATGATAGCGAGAGGGTGATGTATAAGAGGAGTCCGGTTGACACTATCGCCGATGTTACAGGCAGTATGTGGAATCCACAAGAGGGAAAGCCTGCGCAATCATCCGGATGGCTATCGGGGGGACAAGAATTCGAGGCTTCCCCTACCGAATGTGCTGAATATATAACGAGCTCACCTACCCCGAACACCCCCAGCCTGCCGGAATTAGTCCAGGAGCCGGTTGATATTGCGCCCGTAGAAAGTGCTTTGTGGACCCTAATTCCGACTATTGTTGCTTCACAGACTTCTAGCCGTCTTTGGAGATATCAAGCCAAGACCTTGCAGTCTACAAACCGAATCCCTAGGGCTAACGTAAACGATTCCGACAGCTTGCGAAAAGTCCGTCGATCAATTCACCGCATCCTTGCACCAGCCAAAGGTCCTCTATGGAAAAAGGAATTAACCGGCAAGTCACACCCACAGCTTTGGGCGCAATCTTCAAAAAGGGATGGCCTATGGAACAGCAAAGGGGGCACAACAGCCTTCACAAATATCAACGCGCTCTTGCAGAATACTAACTCCTTATGGACAAAACACGGTAAATACGTGAAACCGGTCTTCGATGATCTCTCGTTGGTTTCCTTTCGCTCAAAAAGACAACTACCAATGCGTCCTTTGGAATTAGCCCACGGCACCCTCTGGGTAGCGCCTATTCCTATGAGCCATGGGGAAAAAAAAGATCACAATCGGGGATTATGGAATTCAAGGCGGGGGGTCGATCAGGAAATATCGGAAGCCACGCCTCCACTCACAACCGCCCAAGAGGAAGAATTATCTGTAAGCCCGATCCGTGCGCATAAGCATAACTTGCTCTGGCAACCGGGCGGGCCAGCTCAGCCGGTACATTCAAGTTCGCCAATGCCCCCTGTCACACCATCGAAAAGCAATAAGCGACATGATGATTCCCCGCTTTTCTTGGCTCTGCCACCAGCTACAGGCTCTGTGTGGATGGCTCCTGCTTCAAAACCAAACCCATGTCTGCCCAGATTATGGACACCATCACCCGTGACTCTCAGGGGACTTTGGTCTTTCGATAACAAAACCCCCTCTCTCGCTCTCCTCGCCCGAAAAAACAATCCTCTTTGGTCTAAACACAACACCCCAAAGCCAATCTTCCCTACTTTAACGACCGAATCTCGACGCACGTTCCCAACAAGGCCTGACGTTACAGTTTCCATGGCAGGACCTCTCTGGACATCTTCACCTGTTGAAATTCGGCAACCGCAACTATGGAAATCACTGGGGAAAACAGGTGAAAGACTTTGGACCGTCGAAGGAACTGCTCCTCCCCTTTCCCAGATCGCTGATCCAAAGGTTGAGAAAACGCCATTGTGGAGTAGGGAAAATAATACTACCGCTCCCATCTTTTCCGATCTATCCCTCGCCTCGCTTCGAAGTAAGAGGGATATTTCTACCAAAACTTTACCCGTTGTTGAGGAGGGCCTTTGGACGAAGCGAATCAATCCCCCTGAAGCTTCGCGGAAAACTGCAGGATTATGGGGAAAATTCGAAGAACTGCCCAAAGTGGAGGCTGCTCCTAATCACGTTCCCATACTCTGGAATAAAGAAGGCATCACAGCTCCCATTTTTGCTCATTTACCTACCGGTTCTGCGCGATCAAAGAAGGACACGTCTTCGATCGTTCTCCCGGTATTCACCGAGCCTATGTGGAAGAAGGAAGTCGTATTTAGAGCAAAGCCAGAGTTGTGGAAGCCCACGCCAAAACCTACCGGATTGTGGGATGCGACTTCGAGGACTAAAACCTTGGCACAGATGACACTTGAAAAGAAGGCAAAGGGTTCGCCTCTATGGAGGAAGGAAGGGGCTCGTAGGACAACTAGCGCTATGCCGATAAGAACAGATACTGCGGTACGATTATCGGACAGAACCGCTCTCCCGAAAGTGGCTGGAGGCCTATGGAAGCCGAAGGTTCCAGTTAAACCCGCCGCGCAACTTTGGATACGCAGGAGGTCAATGAAGATAGAGAAGCAGGCTGCAGGTATTCTCCTATGGACGCGAGAGACGGCATTAAGAACCACAGAAGCTACCCCCGAGCGAACGAAAGTCTCCTTTACCCCCTCGGATAGTCCCCTACCCAAGGTATCCGGAAATCTTTGGCAAAGGAAGACACCTGAGGGGCCGAAAGGGTTATGGAAGCGATCTCTCGGGACAGTTTCATCCGCTGCCCTCCGACCCTCGGCTCCTCTATGGTCTCGAGAAAAGGCCTCGAGACGAACAGCTGCTGTTCCTGAACGCCTTTCCCTTACTCCGAAAAAGACTTTCCCTGTCCAGGCTGATCCCCCCAAGGCTTCGGGCAATCTATGGAAGCCGAAGGCCAAGGCCGCTCCTGATGGCCTTTGGGCCAAACCCACAGTTATCACGACCAAGCCCATCGCCATTCGTACTGTCCTATGGACTGCAGCTTCAGCTTCTCGTACAACCTCCGCCGCGATTGCACGGAGCGCTATTCCAAAAAGAGTTATCGAAGAGCCCCTGCCTATAGTCTCTGGGAACATGTGGCAGAAGAAGTCTCCCGAGAAATCAAAGGGACTTTGGAAGCGCGAAATCAAGACAACTGGGACCTCCTGGAAGACTGCAAAAACACCGCTTTGGACAAAGGAAGGCGCAGCACGCACTACAACTGCCATTCCACAGCGCACCCCATTTGTGCCAAAACCTGCCTCTACAAAACCGCTAGAGCCTGCAACCGGAGATCTGTGGCAGCCTGAACTCGCTGAGAAAGAAGCTATCACGCTCTGGAAACTGAAACCTGCAGTCCCTAAGGTGGGTGTTTGGAACGCAGAGGGAACAACCCCCTCGCTGGCGGAGATCAAACGGGAGCTCGCTTCGAAGTATACCTTATGGCAGCGAAGATCTGTTCTAGCAGCACGTGGCGCAAACGGGGATATTTTCAGCAATCGATCTTCATTCATCCAGAGGAAGTTAACCATGAACCCAATTCATCTAGACACCGCTCAAAGCGATCTCTGGAAGCCAACGGAGGGCTCTGGCGACGATGATGACACTTCATGGATGATCACCAACACTCCGCCCACAGGGGCCCTAAGCCACACATCTACACTTTCCGACATAAGCGAAATTTCGCCACTCACCTCGGCAGTTGATGCATACGAACCTAGGATCAGGACTCATTCCAACAATCCCAGCATTTCCTCCACGAGCGGGCTTTGGCGACCGTTGTCCAATAGCCCATCGTCTAAGAAGGCGGGGTTGTGGTCAAATGATGAGACTCCAGCGCCCTTTGTGGATCTAACTAGTGATATTAGGGCCGAGCGGATTCCTTTGCCCACCCAGAAGGAAAAGCCACTCGAAACCTTTGATCGCTCTCATAATTTATGGCAGCCGGAGATCTTGTGTGACTCAAAGGTAAGGATCGACCCCCTCCCTTCCGGCGCTAGGTGGTCCCATATCTAATCTAATTACTCTAGACAATCCGATCGAACTCCGACGCTTCTGAGTATTGCACTGGCGGCTCGGTTTCCGAATTCTCAGACGACTCTTTCTATTCGGCTATGGGCGCACACAGCGAGCATGGAGGTGAGGAGAACGCTCCTTCAAATGTATTTGTTGGTCAATTCCGAAGGGACAATTACATGATTCGTGAGTTCCACTATCATCTCCATTTTCAGGTTTTGGCACTAACGATGCGCAGATGTTCAAGCGCCTGAGCAGAAGCTAGCAGATGATTCCCCATTTGCAAGCCATTTAAGAATCCCCTCCCTCAGGCGCAAGCTCCGATCGGCAGAGGAGAGGAAAGGGCGGATCACGGGCGTAAGTGAGGGGCAGATTTCCGAAGCAGAGACAACGGAGAAGGTTGTGGCTCCTAGCGCAGGATATCTTTGGAGTAAGGGAATTGTTTGAAGCCATTTAATGTCTAGGTAACATGGCATGGATCGATCTAACGCATAGCACGGACAACTAAGCGGTTGGCCTTTTTTTTTTTCCTTCTTCCTCCGTTTTTCTTTTTATTCCCTCCTCTGTAACTATTTTTTTGTATAAGTAAATTTAATGGTAAGCAGCGTTGGGTTGTGTTCGCCAACAATGAGTGCATTGTGTATACTGTACTGGAGTAACAACTCGCATCTTCACCTATAGATGGAAGTAGGGTGCACGCGCGTCTGGGCTAGCAGCGCCTTGAACCAAATTTAATAACGAAATATAGAGCAACCTTCGGTTTATCCTCAGCGAGCAGCCAGCCGAGCTCCCCCCAACAAGTGAGTGGGCACGTGCATACTGCAAAAATAGCAGGTCTTGCACTAAGATATTCCACCGGAGAAAATTCACAAAAATCCAAACTATTGATAGAACCACTGAAAACAGTACAAGTAAAGACATCATTTTCTGTATACAAATCTCCACCCAATTCCTAACTCCACAAGAGCAGTATCGTATGCGGTTGAACTTCCAAGTTCCGCCAGCACGCAGCTTTCCCACCAAAAACAACAGCCTCGGCGCAAGTTCGAGGAAAGTTTTGCTCCGTATAGTTACTACTCCTCAGAGAATTTAAATCCATTTAAAGTTACATTTGAAGTCAAGTAGTCTAAATCTTTTCTGAACACTCTATGAAGTTATCCCATTCTTAACACGAGCACTGGTGCCGGAATAAGCCCGTGGAGTTGGCTGTTTCTGGTGGAAACCAACTTAGGCCGTGCCCGCTCACTTTTTGGCTCCCGCTTGTATCATAATATTATTATGTACAGTACTCGAGTATTTCATTGGCGCCCAAGTATTATACGCAAGCCCTAGTGCTCGAGCAATACCGGAAGTTATGATACCATACCGCTATTGCAAACAATTGATTATCACACCGTACCGTAAATTACAGTTTTAGGGTGCAACACCGAAAAGGGCCTCCGTAGCTTGCCCTATAGAATTTGATGCTGGGTACAGTAATGCTGTCTTTGCCATCGGAGCTCATGCTGCAGAAAATGCTGGCCAATTATGTCTTCTTGTTATAACAAGCGGGCTTTGGATCACCAACACGCAGAGGTTAGAGAAGACTTGGGGACCAGGCTTTGGTAACACATGAGGGGGATGTGTGCCGGAGGGTGTTATCACACCAAAAAAGAGCCAAGTTTGATCCGCTGTACTCGAGTACTGTATCGTATCGTATCCTGTTCTATGTAAACAGGGGTTTAGCGTCCAACCTGCATGCAACTAAGATTCGAGTGACACCCAGTGAGAACTCTAGTTACCCGACTTTTCCCTACAATACTCGCCCGCGGCTACACCACAAGCACCTCGCCATCCTACCCCCAACCATGCGAGTAAGTCCCTCTCTCACACAGCCTCACTCACAACCTCTGGCTAACCCCCTCCCGAAGTGCCCCGTCGCTCCCGACAGACCACAGGCGACGACGGTTGGATCAACATCCCCGCTAAACACAAACCCCCCAAAACCCTCCCGGAACACCAAAAACGAACCACCCTCTCCTACGCGCTCCAACGACAATCCTCACCCCTCGCCCCAGAACACATAGCCCCCCACCTGAACCTGCACACCCAAACTCTCCTAAAATCCACACTATGGACGCAAATCCGCAACGTGCTGGTTCCGCTGGCGCGGGGGTTGAATAGACTAGTTGTTTTTGGCCTGGGCAGTTTTTCGGGACCCACCGCTTCATCAACGTATTACCAGTTTGTGCTCGTGCGGGAGATAGCGGAATTGTTGGGGATTGGGAAGGGGGAGGTGTACTTTCAAGACCCAGTTTTTACGAAGTGTGACAAGGGGTTTTTGGAGGATATTGGAAGCGTGGTTGAAGTTGGGAGGGGGGAGAATGCGGTGCAGGAGGAGACAGTGGTTGTGGCAGTTCATTTGGAGTATGAGGTTCTTGAGGGGGTGGTTAAGGGAAGGCCGGGGGTGGTGGTGTGTAACGATCTGGGGCACTTTTTAGATATGTGAGCGACTGACCTTCCTTCCTCGGTTTTTCGCCAGCTCCTCCCAAGGGAGGTGGGTGCTAATGTGCGGGCTGACAGGAGGATCGGTGGGGAAGTGGAGTGGGTGAGGGGTTTTTTAGAGGGTGTTGAGGGAGAGGTTCTGAAGTGGGATATCGACGGCGGGGGGGCATTTAATCATTCGGCGGTTTACAGGAGAAAGGTTGCGAAAAATCACGGGAGCACCGGGGGTGATAAAGTTGATGGTGAGAATGCGGTTGAAGATGCAGTTGAGAATATTAGGGCTCTTGATATATAATTACCGCCAGTGGGTGTCTCCTAAAGGTGATTGTCATGCTGCATCACTTGTCTAGAATTCAGTCCGGGGGGTTGTGCATAGTTGGCAGCTCGTGACTCCTGGCTTCAAAGCCAGGCACAACACCATGGCCGAGATTCCCATATTTCATGAATAGCGTAGTTCTCCTCTGACCTTGGCCCTTCATCTGTAACCCATGACTCTTCTAGATTGTGGCTTTCTCAGCGTCAATCCTCCCTTTTCGCACATATATTCCAATTGTGGTCATTCCTCTACGCATGGGGGGTTTGTCGGCGTTAGCAGCCGCAGCCAGCGCCCGTAGTTTCCTTCTCTTGAGAGAGTACTGCTCCTGCAATTCATGTCCAACAATGTAATATATACCCCTTATCCTTATCTTTATCCTTGGCGTTAGATGAGAAAAATCCATGGCTAGCAGGATAAGTGCCTGCTCCTGTGACAGCATCACGTGAATTACCTATCGGGCATAGTGACCAATACCTCAAGAACGAACCCTGCACAATTAGCAGGAGACAGGGAGCCCAAATCCACCCAGGAGGTATCAGTGAATGACCCACCTTGGCCTTCCTCGGTAGCGCGACACGGGAAATCTACCGTATCCCGCCGCGTGCCGGTAGAATCCGACCTTATGCAATGTGCGCAGGGATGAGGTCCGCCACAGGAGGGTAGCAGAAAATGAAAAGAAAAGAAAACGAGAATGAACTACATATATATGAAAGAGCTGCTGGCTTCTGATCTGGGAACGTTTCGATCGCGAATACTATATGCCATGCAGACTGTCTAGCGCAAGAATGACCGGATTGATCCATGAGGGTATGCATTTATCACTAAACCACCACTTCACAATTCCCAGCCTCCCTTGAAGATCCACTATAGTTTCTCGAAGGATGGCACGTAGGGGTTCTTCTATTACGAGCAGAAGATATAAGGTCTGTTCAGCAGTCTAAGCGAAGCCCAAGCTTCCGCCAGGACTCATCTGAACTCCAGCCACGATGGGAACAGGTAATCAGCTATCATGAGAGATCACTCGTCTCCAGTCTTTGGTCAATCGCCTGTATAGTGCTCGTGACGACAAACTTGAAAGTCGAACGCAATTCCCCCGGCCGGAGGTTCCGGCGGACGAGGAGTATTTTGGCGCTTGTGCCGTTCTGTGTATGGGCTTGTTTGGCAGACGGACACCATAAGCCCCTCGAGCGAGTGTTTACAATTGGCAGGTTTCTTTAGTGGAATTAACCGCCGAGCACTACAGCGGCCACAGTTCATCAAGTCTGTCATGGGAAGATTCCCTTTTCGAGTTTAGGTTGGCTGTCCAGTGGCTATGGGGGTCCGTCTACTATGCAAGCGGATGTTTCCTCCCGGGGCTCTTGATACAAGAAATGACTGGGTGGGCTGGAAGGGCTCTTTCCTCCCGGGGGGAAGCCTGCCCGGGGTGGTGCTCTCGGGGCGAGTTCCCAAGTCCCTTCTATCGAGGTTTCACTTGTGCCAAGGACACTCCTACTTGTATTGCCTTGGAAAGGCTATGCTGCGAGTCAGGGGAGGAGTCTTAGGCCAACCTAGCCAAAACCGGAAGGAATAGAAAGAGACCTTGGGAGGAGGGATAATCCCCCGCGACGTCGTCACGGTAACATATAATGCAAGTAGCCCAGCGGGCAGAGCAATGGAGGTGAATAGTTAGCCAGGAAATGCCTTTTTTTCACCCTCTAGTTCTAGGACATTGCTCCGGTGTGTTGAGTCTTCTTTTTCAGCAAGAGGATCAAGACGGAATCGGAGTCTAGCGGCGAGGCTACTCGCTGAGCTCAAGGTTTGGCTCGTGATGCTCGGGTTCCCAAAAGTGTCCTTCGGTGTGGCCACGAGGATGCTTTGATAGGAACAAAAAAAAAAATCTAATGTGCGACAAAGATATTTTAATCACAATTGCTAAAAAAAATCGTCACTTTGTGCATCACCAGCTTTCTCTGGAATTTCACGTATTGTCTCAAGAACTCTTTGAAGATTGCCTGACCCCACCCCTACCTCTACCCCCGCCACCGCCCGCTATCGAATCTCTGAATCTTCCACTTCTCCCATAGTCCAACTAGCATGATATGGTATCTCCGGTAATAGGCACATCAACAATGAGATTGAACAGTTGAAACGGGTTAATTCAGATACAGTACCAAACAGGTTGCGGGAATATAGCTTAGTTGGGCCTTCACCTCAAATTGCTTACGCCTGACCTCAACTCGACTGATATTTCAGAACCCCCATACTACGAGGGTTCTCTCATACACAGTCATGCAATGGCATTGGTGCTTTCAATTTAAACCATTATCATCATCTTTTTCTTCTCCGAATGAGCAATTACAGAAATTGGCTATAAAACCCCGGAGATCTGTCCTCAAGCTTCCCCACCACTTTAGCACTAGGACTCGTCACCCTCAAGGACACTCATCCCGTGCCAGACAACGTTCTTCGATCTCGAATGCCTGGAAGTGAGATTCCGGGGCAGTGGCCGCACGGAACAAAGCTTTCATGAACCTTGAGAATTCGGGTATTGAAAATCCCAGTGGGGTTGGGAACGCGAGGGATGGTCATAAAAACTTAGCTCTGCTCTTGCTGATTCTTTTAGTGGAGTTGTGATACCAATAGTAGAATGTTTCTACTCTCCAAAAGCCTGGATATGAGGACTTGATAGTGGGGATTGTTACTACTGCACAGCCACCATGTCCAAGCGCTGAAGCGAAGAATTCCGCTATCAGCCCTAAACCCGTGAGTCCACTAGAGGGGGCTAAAAATAATCCATACTTTCTATCATATCACAGCAATTGGCGCGTCGTGTGATGGAAACCCTGGCATTATGCTTAGGACGAGCGGTCAAAAGAGCCCTGTTTGGCCATCATTTACAGTTTTCCTGCGATCACGGTATGCGATCACGGTGCATAATATTTACGGGCCCATAATCGACCTAAACGCGGCCATCTAATTTAAGCTATAGTCGTGCTAGTGCAAATCCTAAAAGCATTTCCGACCAGAAACATCAAAAACGTGGTCAGCCCTGTTTTTGCGCTAATCGTTTCCCAGAGAGCTACACCCACAATCGAAGCTCCCAAGACTTCCTGTAAAGTCGGTGGAGCCCCATCACAGGACAAAGCACTGATCAAGCACTACTGCACTATCCTCCACTGCCTATCACATCCGACAGGTAACAGTCTTACAAGACAGTGTTCCCTAGCGTTGCTAAATATTCCACCCATGAGTACAGAAACACCTTTTCACATTCTCGAACGGGTGCAAAGGGGAAAAAGAACCCACTACTGGTAATGTCCTGTACTGTACTCGAGTACTGTACCAGTGCGCGATGCACCGCCTCACACTACCACCCCAACCACGAGTGACCCCTCCTGCTACCGTACGATAGTATAGTACAGTAAGCCCCCTCGGAAAAAACCTCCCACAGGACAAAGCATTCTTCACACATGCTCACTCGTTCAGCCGTATCGCTAAGCGAGAGGAGGGGAAAAAAGCTTTAAACAGAACCTCACCACGGGTACAATACCTTACGGGTAGTCAAGTCTGCGCGTCATCCCGTGAGATCACTAGCCCAGAGAGAGAAAAGCTTAGCGATTAGGTGAGCTGGCGAGTGAGGGGCTGTGATTTGCCCACTGGTGAGTGGATTGAGGCTAGAAATTTGGATGATGGGATATACTCATATCTATCAAGTCTCTGTTAGCTAAGCACGGGTACCGGGGGCAGGAAGTTCTCTCCCTAGCCAGCCGGATGGAGAAAAGGGTCAAATCCGTAAGAGGCTTCTCGATTCTTTACTACTCGAGTACGGTACCCGCAATTTACCCATAACCGAGCAAATTAAAAGATGATATCACATCACAGAGCGCACTGTAGCGCAAAAGTACTCGTACCGGTACTCGAGTACTTTACTCGCGATGCAGTACGGTACTCGTACAAAGGAAAATCCCCGTACTCTCTGGCGAAATAGGCAGGAGGTACCATAAACCAATCCAGAATAGGCCCAATACTTTTTGACCATCACCAGCAAACCCCTCCCTCCCTCCCTCACATCCCTCCCGGATGCCGTCGGGTGGTCCACACCTTTACTTGTACAGTCTCTTACAGTTTAAAAAAAAAAGTAGGCCTCGATTTGGACACCGGTACTATTCAGTGCGCAGCTCCAGAGTGCACCTCTGCGAATCGGTGCAGTACTGTGCTCCGCTTCACCACCCGCGCTCGCACTGCGGAGTTTACTCGAGTAGTGGGGATGTTGCGATTACTGAAAGCTGCGACGATTCGAGGACTCGAGTAGGGTCGAGGGGGAAAAAAAAAACAGGGACCCCACCAGTTCTATAGAAGTATACACCACTCCTCAGGTAACCAACAAAGATTCTAGATATTTTTACTGGAGCACGAGCGGATTGGGTTAAAACATGGCCTCGTGGGTGTTCCAAGACGGGAGGAACCATCTTTTTTGCTGTGCAAAAATTGTCAAGACCTTTGGAAATCGCAATAATAAAGTAACTTATCGGTAGAGTTAGGAATCGATTTTTGGTGAATGATTGATTGATGGCCGGCATTTTGCGATCTGCTGCAGCCACTTTCTTTTCCTTATTTTTATTTTCATCTTCTCGGCCCTTCTGGCAGAGCTGGTACCGGTATGCTACTGTCCACTGAGTTGTCTTCAGCCGCATGGGACGGATTACCAGTACGATGCGAGGGGAAAATTTGACCATAGGTTTTGCTAAAAATAATCCTCACGTGACCGATGGGTGCGTTATGGTAGGATCATCCTTTTCTTTTTTTTCCTTTCCTCCTCCTCCTCCTCCTCCTTTCGAGGGGAGGCTGGGTTATGATACTGGTATGGTACTCGAGTTTTAGGGTGTCATGGTTGTGTGATGCCCACCCCCCCCCTTCCCCTCCGGGTTTCCCGGGATCTGGCGTGATGGATGGGAGGGTGGGGAGGGGAGGGATAAATAGTGGGTTTTCGAATTCATCGGACTGGGGTTGGGACGGGAGCGAAGGGTTTCTGTGGAGCTAAGGTGGAGGGGGGGAAGAAGTGAAGCTTTAAGAAGGTGGTTGATGGTCCCTGCTGCATGGCTGCAGTGAGTTTCTGAGGAGTTTTATCATACAAATGGTTCTTTAGCCTTTTTCGTGGGGCTGGAAACGAAGGAACAAAGGAAGGGACTGGAGGATTGAGCCGTGTCATTCGTTCCCCCATCCACTGTTTAAAGGGGTTGGATCAATTAATCCATCCATTCTTGGGATCCATCTTTTATTGTTACTCTTCTCGGCTTCTGGCGCTTGGTTGGGCTTCTCGGTTCGAGGGTTCCTCCTCCAGAAAGGTAAAGAAAAGGCAGTTACCGGAGTACTGCACTCGAGCACTCGCGGTGTGTGGCACGAGTATTGTACTCGAGTACAAGTACGAGTGCTGTATCTCTCTCTCTCAGCGGCCCGGTTGTCCTGCGCAACCGTCGATCCTCCATAATCCGAGCCTCGCATAAACAACCAAGTTACAAAGTCAGGCATTTCTGACAGGTGAGCTCTCTCAAAATCTTTCTCTACCCTTCCCCCCTCCCTCTCTTCTCCCCATTCCCTTTAGTCTACCATTCTCCTCTCCTCCTCTTCCTCCTTGGATCCATCTTTGTGCATCTCTATACCATTCTATACACAATTTGCCACTTCCCCCCCTTCCCATTGATCCTATCTCCACATAAGCACTCTCACCCGCTTAATTTCCCCCCCGTTCGTTGTCCCTTGTATTTGTGAGAGGTACAAGTAAGTTGTAAGTCATTGCCCGTGTGCTCTGAGCACAAACCGATTCCCCACCCCGCAAATTACCATAATACTGCTAGCCTCACTCGTGTCGGCTCACTCACTAACGCGAGAGAGTCGCCTCAGCTACGACAAGTCCGACCCGCCCCGCCCCTTTGGAGGGCAAGCCGCAGGGGGGAACGAAACGGGCCCCCTTTCCGAGTTACGAAAACCTCAAAGTGGAATAACCCCCTGCACTGGGTGTTATTAGGGAAGAAAAAGAAAAGAAGAGAGAGGAAAAAGGAAAATACCCACAATCCTTGGGCTATAAACGAAAAGGGGGTTACGCGGTCTGCGAAATGTCGGACCTTCAACGGAACTTTTCCTTCCAGGCACACGACGACAATCCGGCCTACCATCCTCTCGATTCTTCTGGCGACTCTCCCCAGCAAAGCTCGATGGCTCAGGGTTCGCAGCCACGCGAAGTTTTGGCGCTGAGCGCATCGGACGAAGGACATAGGCACGGCGTGGAAAATGAGAATAATTACCCAGGGGCATTGCCGAATCGCAGCCAACAATCCATCTCTCCGAGGCCGACGATTGCTGCCGAAGGGGAAGGGCAAGGATCTGTGAACAATGGAGGTGAGAATAGCGTTGAAACCAACGATGCTGCGTTGCTCTATCCCAAACCCTCTGAGAATAATCCCCGATTAACACCTGCTGGCGGGTACCGAGAAGACGAGAGGTACTGGGGCCCGGAATTAGGATACGCGCAAAGCAACCGCCGATCAGGCTACTTTGCGGGAGAAGGGGATCAGTATGACAATTTAAATTCATCGCAGCGAGGTTTGGTGACACCTGGATCTACATCTTCACCATTATACCCACCATCACTTTCCTCGCCCTCTTCCCAGGCACCGCTGATAGGCGGAGCACCAGTTCCCGTGCCCCCAGCGCATGGGCTCGGCACTTTGGAGAATAGGTCCAGTGATAGGGTGTTGTCAACCCCTGTAGGCGGTCACTATACGGATAATCCATACAACCGCTATTCGACCACGTGGGATCCGGTATTGAGCTCGACACAGGTACAGGTCGACGGCAACACTGATGTATTGAGCGACGAGGAGGAGGAGACGCATCGACGTGGAGCCGCTGGAGCAGCAGCAACGGGTGCTGCAGGTGGAGGTGTGTTGGCGGCTTTAGGTTCTAGGGTTGGCCGACCGGCTCCCAGCCATGTCTTCGGTGGTGCCGCTGGCGGGGCCGGCGCTGGGGGTGGGGGAAGCGGAGTCGCCGATAGGGGTGGCCTATTGGGAGGAAGCGATGGGGGGTCGACAAACCTTAATGGTAATGGTAGGGCCGGGACCTCGACTCTTCCTGAGAGAAACTAAAACACCATCATCGATACTAATGGCGGGTGGTAAAAATGCAGAGAAAGTCGCACAGTCCGAATGGCTACGATCGCAGACGAAATCGAAGAAAAAGCTCCGATGGATCATTGGCGTCATACTGATCGTCTTCATCCTCGGCGCGGCGGGAGGCATAGCTGCGGGAGTAATCTTATCTAAGAAGAACTCATCAGGGGGCTCCTCGGGATCTACGCAGGTGGCGAATGGAGGTGGAAGGTCTGGGATTTCCGGGGAGGAGGACACGAGGCAGAATGGCGATTTGAACAAGGACTCGCCGGAAATCAAAGCTCTCATGTCAAACGCCAGATTTAAGAAGGTCTTCCATGGCATGGATTACACTCCTCTCGGCGCCGTCTACCCCGACTGTACCTCTCCTGTGGTCTACTTTGAAATTACTCGATTGTGCTAACATGCCTTAGGCCTCGTAAACCCCCCAACCCAGAACAACATCACCCGCGATATCGCCGCCATGTCCCAGTTGACCGACAAGCTCCGTCTCTACGGCACTGACTGCAACCAGACAGAGATGGTCCTCCACGCAATAGACATGCTAAAAGTCGACATGAAAATCTGGCTCGGCGTCTGGTTGGACAAGAATACAACAACCAACACCCGCCAACTCGGCCACCTCTACAAACTCCTGGATGTCTACCACTCGGACCGCTTCGAAGGCATTGCCGTAGGCAACGAAGTCCTCTTCCGAAAAGAACTCACCGAAACCGAGCTCTTTGGGATCATAGATGACGTACGGCACAACCTCACGTCATTGAATATAAAACTCCCAGTGGGGACCTCAGACCTCGGATCGAACTGGAAGTCGACAATGGTGTCCAGTGTCGACGTGCTTATGGCGAATGTGCACCCGTTCTTTGCTGGTGTGGTTGTGGAGAAAGCTGCGAACTGGACGTATAATTTCTTTCAGGACAACGATGTAGTCCTGACGGCAAACGTTGCCACAAAACCCCGTGTCATGATCAGTGAGGTTGGGTGGCCTAGCGGTGGTGGTAACGATTCTGGAAGTGTCGCGGGCATTTCCCAAATGAATAGGTTTATGCAGGACTTTGTGTGTACGGAAAATAAGCGAGGGACGGAGTACTTTTGGTATATTTTTCGCTTTCTTTTATGCGAGTAGGGCTAATATCGGGGTATAGGTTCTCTGCCTTTGACGAGCCCTGGAAAGTGCGATACAACGAACCGGCACTCGGCAAAGAATGGGAAGATAAGTGGGGGCTCATGGACGTGAACCGGAATTTGAAGGATGGGTTGGTGATTCCGGATTGCAAGTAGCCCACTTCTCACTCTCACAATACTCGACCTGTTTTGGGATAGTTGCTCCCGGGGTGGACGGGCGAGGGTCTGGAGAGGATGGCTTGGAAGTTTACCATGCCCAAGATGCTTGCCTTTCATCAATGCATTATTCTCGATTACTGCTCGGCGTTTTTGACCTTTTTTGATTCTGGGAAACTCTTTTTCGAACAGGGGTGTTTTTTCATGTCACCCTTTACTTTTTAACTTTCATGAGTAGGAATTCTTTCTTTGGGACTCGTTGGGGGACCCGATTTCTGTTTCGGCCTTGGTAAAGAGCGATAAATCTCTAATATTTTTCTCTCCTTTTCTGCCATGTATGGTGGGTGTGCTTCTTATTTTCAGTGTTGATTTCTACCCATCTATCTGTCTATTGGGGATGCATGTACTCTAATACGAAGATTTAAATATTGTCCAAAATTTTGGTTTATCATACAAAAGTCTCGGGTTAACTCATCAAGTTAGAGCTTAGGGCATGGTTAGAGTGTGATGCATCACACATACTCACTCGAAATGGTATTAGCGGTAGGGTCATTTGGTAGCGCGTCGGAGGCCGGACACACCGGAGCTGCGGGTTTTCAAGTCGTTATATCTCCTCAGATGTCTTGGCACCCAACTTTGAAAGGGGAATAAGCATGATATGATACCATGTCTGAAGTATAATAATATCCCCACTGGCCTTGATCTCACTCTCTCCATTTGACTCTCACCCTCCACCCGAACGTTTATTTTGGGCTTCAGGTAGATGTGCGGGTTATTGAGTTCTGTATAATGGAGTAACCCCATCGTGGTATGTGAGTTTAGGACATACTGAGTTGAGTTGAGCAGTCACCAAGATGTGCGTGACTTGTTTTTCTGATGTTTGTATGATGGCTAGCCCTCTACAAGCATAGCCATCACATGGTGTATTTAGTTCTGGGTTTGCTTTCTTTTTCTCGGGTAGAACACAACCCCGAACACAGTTCCGAGTTTGCCATCATCACGTTCTCCTCTCACATCCTTACACAGTGCACCTCCCGTCAGTTTCACGTCTGTGCTTTCTTCCTCCATCTTTTTTCCTTGGACCTGGCCAGTCTTCCACACGGCGCTGCTATCACTGTAGTGGGCTGGTGTTGTGCCGTCTGTAGCGGTGTAGCACGATATCATAATAAGTTCGGGGGCCGAAGGAGGAGATACCATATACGCAATGGGGGCATTGGGTTGGCATAAGGGGTATCTCCCCTAGGGAGGGTTTCGGCCGGAGTGTACTCGAGTATGATACTGTACAGCGGTGTCATTGAATCTTGCGCCCGGGGTCTCCAATGCCGCAGGTTAATCAAGTATTTGTGGAGATGATCAGACAAAAAATATACAAATGGGCATCACAACCAAAAGGGAGTGTCGATACAAAGTTTCAAACCCTGGGAGCCATGACTATAGTTCCTGAACAAAAGCTCATCGTTGGTGGGTATGATAAGTATGATTACCTGTGAAAGCACACAAAAATGGCCCGGAATTTTGTGTCTGGTCTTGGGAATTGCTATTTGCGCCCCCCCACCGCTTATTCAATTAGATAGGGAAAATATATTGATAGGTGTCATGGCTAGTAAACTGGGGGTTCTAAAATTTGTATTCCCATGATAAACTCCTCTGTTCTATGGGTGTGGGACATTCGCCAATTAGCCCGATTGGTTTCCGAAAATAGAGCTGGGCACCAAGAATTTGTATGGGCACCTATACAAATAAGGGCTGATACATGTTTTAAAAATGGCGAATTCGGCATCAGCCAAAATAGGTTGCTGAGTTCTGGCTGGTGAAAAAGGACATTCTTGGTGTAAAAGTGGCCACCAATGATGACATTTGTAAGGGCACTGCACTGTACCATACGCCGAGCACTAGGTTAGCGGTGGACGCAAGAGTGCGGGTTTTTTCCTGTAGTATACGGTAGGGAGAGGAGATATCAGTAAAAGTACGGCCACTGTAACGGGCCCCGGAGCTATACTCGGACATTGAGCCTGTTATATTATATTACTTTCTTACTCTCTCGCTCTCTCTTGGCACGCAGCTCTGTTCTGATTCCAGTGCTGTGGTTTCAACATCATCCTCTTTTATGCGGTTAGCTCTAACCCCCAAGGCACGTATACGGGGAAAAAAAAAAATGCATTCACGGATTATACAGTTGTGACCCTTATGGGTAGTTCAGAAGGAAATAAGGCTTCTACCTTGTTGATCTATCTTTAATCACATCCTTAAGGTCATGCATGGAAACCATTGGACAATTGCCTATTAGTAGGCCCGATCACAAAGTGGTGGGAGGGCAGGCATCGTGGACGAAATTAGTGCTTTTTTGATGGTGCAGGGACCAAAAGGTCGGATATGGTGGCTGGTGATGGACGGATTTTCGGTGTGGGGAAGTGGGTTTAACCCATGGATAACAAAGTAAGTATGCCATTTTAGCCCGTGCTAGTTTGACTAGCAGTTATCGGATTTCCGCTGCTGACCCGTCTATTATATACCACGCTGGGAAATGATCGCAAACAGAGCTTGAAATTAGTATATAGTAGTGCGAGGCAGCCGAGAGGACCTAGATCTTCACAACGTTATTATGGAGTTTAATTTTCCGGATACACAGCTGTATCTTGACCCAGTTAACTTGCCCCCCCCCCCCCACTTTTATGCACTTTTGAGTGGGGTGTGGGGTAATCCAGAGATCTAGATCTGCCGCTGTTCCCGTTGAATAAGCATCTAGAAGTGTGGTGCAGGAATCCTGGTACCTGTCCTGTGCGGCTCCTGATGGGTGCCTGTCCGCGGTAAGTGCTAGATCTCATCCGCAGACTCCGGTCGTGGAGTGGAGTGGAGGTGCGAAAGATTGGTTGTCGAGCAAGATCGACTCTGGGATATGCGGTGCAGGGTTCGATGAGACTCGGAGTCATATGCAGGGGCTTCTTGAGTTACGGTAAGATGGCAGGGGTATTTGGTACTGTAGTCAAATAGGTAAATTCTACCAAGTAGGGTGTTTACCAAAAAAAAGCCTGTCAATGGCCCTTGTTCGCCACCAGCCGGTTTCTTCATGCCATGTTGAAGAGTGTATCAAGGGTGCGGGTCCCTATGTTGCTGCTTGGGAGTATGATTCAGCGAGTGAGATCGTATGCACAGCAACTTCCTGTACAACATACCGGTAATGGGTTGTGTTGGGGGCAGTGGCGTGAAGAAAATTGTGGGACAACGGCATTCCCCACCAAAAAACTGCGTATTCGGAATAATCATCAACTCCTCCAAAATATTTAAAATACAAACCACTGCATACCGTAGCTAGCTTCAAATATCATAGGGCATTACCTACAGAGGTTTTAGAAAGTTTCCGTCAAATGATTCTCCATCCATAAGTGTTGGATTCCAAATTACCTCCTGCAGCACTACCAGACAGGGATTATTTGGTGTAGAAACTAGTATATTTTCAGGTTCCAGGCCTACTAAACTTAACTAGGGAAGTAGAAATGATATCCATGTTCCCAAAAGGTAGAGAAGTAAAGTGGAGAAGCAATAGGATGAGTGTATGTTGATATTGATGTGCGAAAACTCAGTATTTGGGTGCAAAAACTCAGTATTTGGGTGCAAAACGTGTGTTGTCCCACAATTTTCTTCACGCGACTGGGGGGGTAAAGATCGAGCACCACTAAGACGTCTAGAGCCCCAGTAGGAATCACCTCAAAAGAAAAAAAAAGCCAGCTCTTAGCTCCCCACCGAGATAAATATAAATAAATAAATAACACCCTACAAGAGAGGCAACTCCAACGTCCTAATGTAAGGTTCGTCTACCGGTATTCCAGTTCTACGGTACAATTCTGGAGACCACAACAACACTGAGACATACAGTGCCCATACAAGTGGTTTATGAAAATTTGGAATTTTGTTGCAACCCGTCGCTACTAGCAGAAAGCAGATGCGGAAATAGGCCCCCTGTTCCTATTTTTAGCTTGGCAGTGGGTCAGGCTAGCCGATTGATTCACAAGCTTACCCTTATCAGCCCTGGCTTCAGGCACCTCACTATGACTTGATTTCACCTACCGGTAAGCTGGGTGCGGGCTTCGGCTCTTGTGAAATGACATCTTCAATTACTTCTATTTACCTCACTTCAACCACACCGCACTATTTCCGAGCTTTATTCCGGTGTGTGTTCTTTGGGGTTCGGGAAAATATATATAGTTGAGTCGGGAAGTGGGCCAGATGTTGAAGTGAATCCCTCTTAGTGGGAATTTTGTTCGAGTCCTCACTGCGGAGGAAATCAAACATTTGAATTTGACTAGAAGAAGGGCCGTCTAACTTGCTCCACTATCGGGAAGGTCTGGCATTCTTCTGAGTTCCTCTACCCGGCAGCCTATTCGACATCGATTGAGATTTCCGGAATTCCATCCTCTCTCGAGCGGTCTAATTGATTCATTGCTCCGGCTGACCCCGCTTCTCGGCCCACCGTGTTACGGTGGATAAATGATAGACGAGTTTTGCTTGGGGGGACGGTATGGGGAAACGGGGCCGATGGAGGGATCTTTTGCATAAATTTGCGGAACTGGGGGACAATCAGCACTTTACACTATTCTGAGGTAACCTATATCCTGACGCGGTCTTTTGACCACTGCTGAAGCACAGGTTCTGTGGGAAAGGGGTGCGGCATGATGGCGTATCCCACAGTCGGGGGTGTCGTTGGATGTTTACACCATTTTCTCGTTCACTACAGTGATATGATGCTGTCATGCTTGGTGCTGTTGGAGATACATCTTTTGCAGGATCCCCACTAGAAGATACGGTATATACAAATATCCTCCACCGAATCTAGGAGAAGCACACTAAAACTGGGGGTCCTCGGACCTTTGATGGGATTGACAATCTAAGCCAAATCTCGTTAGAGTAGACATCTCCTAACTGCAAACAGCACGTAACCTATGGCTTTGATCATCGACATGTCCGAAAATCTCTTTTGGGTATGAAAGGATATGGTGAAACACTCAAGGCCCGTTGGTGGATGGTCCATGCCATTGGCTGTTCGATTCAAGGAAAACGAACCCATCCCGAATACAACCTTATCCAAGGCTCGAGGACCCCTGATTATAATTGGAATACATAGAGCGGCTTACTAAAAAAAAAAAGTCGAAAAACGAGAACTTGGGTACCTATCAATCAATTCCCTGGGTCGAACCGCTTCAGCCCATCTCCCAGTTCCCGAAGACGCCCGTCCAGCCTTGAGAGTTTCTCCGGGAGCTCGGTCGGAGTGATGACCTGGGTGGTAGTGACTGTTTCTGCAGGAAGCCTTGAACTGAGGGTGATTGTTTTCGTCACATCAACGGTGAGGGTAATCGGAACACAGACTGTTCTACTTGGCGGATCTCTCGGGTGTTTTGTGACCGTGACCGTGAGCGTCTGCGTTATGGTTACCTCGGCCACCCTCTGCCCTGGGGGCTTTGGGGCCACAGGTTTGCGAGCAGGGGGCTCCCGGGGTTCTGGCCAAGGATGCTTGGGTATCGGCCGAGGAGTCTCCTTAGTGTAACCGTGAGGATGGGGCTCGCGATGAGGCCCACGATAGGGCTCACGATAGGACTCACGATAGGACTCACGATGGGGCTCACGAGGGGACTGTTTGTGTCCAGGCAATTCTCTGAGATCGCCGTGGCCATCACGGAAGGGCTTCCTCCCCAGGCTAATGGAAGGGTCCATGGGTTTTGGTTGAGCCACCTGCATCGGCACTCCTTGTCCCCTTCTCCTTTTGAATGGCTCGGCTCCACCACATCCAGTGTCTGGCGGGCCTCTCAAGGAACGTTTCTTTACTCGAATAATCTAGGAGCGTATCAGCCGTGCCCTGTAGGATAGACGGTAGAAACAGCGGAAAGATACCTCTGGAAAAGCCAAATCGCCAACCTCTTCCCCGGGAAGGTGGATATTTACACAACCACTTCTGGCCCTTCGTCCAGAAGGGTCAAAAAACGCATTTCCATTCCCTCCACGATTATTATAGGAGGATTGATCATATTTGGCGCCACTATCGGACAATTTAGGATCCACGGGAGTCTCTGCCCAGTAATTGTTGCAGACACAGTCCCTAAGTTGCTGGTATGTAGCCGCGAACTCATCGAGGAGATCCGCACAAATCTCCTGCGACAAAGGATCCTGGCCGGGCTCTCGTTTGAGAAAAGGCACCGAGAGCACTATGTACTTCTCTTCTTCACATGGTGGGAGTAGTGAAGGATTTTCGAAGCTGCATGGTTGGCCGTAGTCGACAGGCAAAGCCTGTTCAAAAGAGGGAGGATAGAGGCAGCCACAAAACTCTTGAACCTCTGGCTCTAGGGGAGCGGAGAGTGCTGAAGCAGAAAACATGATGGCTGGTAGCAGCACCAGCGAGATTCGAGCCCGAACTCCGTATCGGCCGTGGTAGGACATTTGGGGAAATGCAACTCTCTTAAGCTTCCGGTGTGCTGGTTTTTGGCTGCAGATGGCTCCTTATGTAAAGATATAGAACTCCTGGTCCATCAAATTTTATAGATTTGTCGATGTGAATGATGATTGGACATCTCTAATTCTAGGCTAAAACAGCTTCGAAATTATTCAGAGTGGATCGTGGTGCTTGGCCCTAAGAATTGATGGTTTACATAATCTATACATGGTTTGAGCTCTTTTGAGTTGATATTTGAGCTAAGACACTTTCGGGCATGACTCGCGGACTATCTAGATGGGAAGATATAGGCTGGTTTTCGGGGTACTGAGTTCTATCGGGTAGGGAGGTGCAGATGAACCAGCCTTTTTTTCGCTCGGGCTGAGTACGTACCTCCGAGGGAGGTAGTGGTGCCGGCTACCCTATAGTGCTCGGCGCCCTATCGATTAGTTCAAGGACAACCAATGACCAATGACTTCCTGTGCCGGTTCGGGAAATCCGTGTCACTCTTGTGTCGGGAGTCCAGTTCCACAATTAACCCACCCTTACGCCGTAAACAACCCAAATACGCTACTATTACTCATTCCGCCCTTGAGCACAGAACCAAGTATACAAATAAACCCCTCCTCACTCGCCCCCCCCCCCCACTGGAGCCAGCTATCCTTTTTCCTATATACAAAAAATGATCCTCACACAGCCCGCTCTTCTCTGCACACTGCTAATATGCACGGTAGCGTCTGTTGCGCTCCCACTGGACATAGGACTCGACCTGGAGGGAATGAGCAACAAGCTCTGCTCTAGCTCCATCGCCGTCGCGAATCCGTACCGGCCATCGGACGTTCGGAGGGAGCGCACCATGAAGCAGAACGGAAAAATTGTGTATTTCGAGTCAGTGCAGGGGCCCGGCCCCGAGCATGAGGACCCCGATGAAGAACTGGATTCGGAGCCTATCCCTCCAGAGAAAACTAGGTATGTGACTAGCTAGTGGGTCCGTGTATCGGGAGGTAGTGCGATTAAAGCATCGGGAAGTAGTGGACGACCGAAGAGACCGAAGGGCATGGCGAAATTGACTAAGAACCGGAAGACGAATGATTAGTTTGGTTGGGTGGTATTGGCGGTGAGGCATCGGGGGGATGTTACTATATATTATCGAAACTGTTGAGCTACTAGTATACGAATTCCTCTGGAGTAACGCTAAGGCTACGAGTGTGGAGTGTTGGGGGAGCAATGGCTTTTTGATATCACTATAATAGCTGACGCACTAGCCTCTGCTTGACCCCAATGTGAATTTGGCTTGCTTCGTCACAAAGTGTTAGTATTCTCCGGGAGTCCCCCACGTATGCTCAGGGTCTATCCAGAGATAGCTTTATTCGCTAGCTCCAATTTAGGCACATTTTAACTATCCACCAGAGGGAAAACGACAAATAATTCCAGGCTAAAGCATCACCCCTCGCCCACCGGGCGTCCTAGAAACACAATAGTGACGTGCTATGCCGGTACCGAGTTATATTTCCCGGAAACAAGTTTTTCCTACAACGTGACCATGATACATGAGAGCGCACCAGGTTGAATAAAATGGGCAAGTAGCGAGCCTCCCCGTGCGCCCCGACATTGAATGAAACCTCCACCACTGCAATCGGGCAATCACAAAGCCCAGCTCAATGCAGCGGAATCCCAGAAACAAACTGCACCTTGGCACAGGCTGCGGTCACCTAAGCTTTATCTCATAAGGAGTCTAATTTCTGGGATAATCCGGTGCTTCTCAACTCGGCTTTTGAATAAGGGGTGAGCCTTATTTCACGGTACTCCTATCTCCGTGCCAGGAACCCCTCCCCCTTTTACACCTCTTCCAGGGGACTGCAGTAGCTATTCCAAAGTTGGTACCGATACCTGGGGTAGAGAATCTGGTGGCTTACACATACGGAATAGTGGGGGATGGGAAGACTGTTGTTTGTAGGTTAGTCGAAAGAGACTGCGGCCGAGGTAAATATAATTTTATTCAATAGTACATCGTTTTTGGTAACGTTGATTCGTTCGTCTGGGGCAGTGTTCCCAACGGGCTAGGCCACTGATAGGCGGGCCTATAGGCCGTAGGCTGGGCCAAGGCAGGCCTCTCCGGCAATGAGCCTAGGCGGATATAGGCTCAACTCAGCCGGCCTGCAGAAGCCTGTCACGCCTGATACGGTAGGAGCCTACAGGCCTGTAAGTGGGATTTAGAGCTGGCTGTTTTAAGAGTGGATTATTATTTTATCTATACCCTCAGTTATTGGTTGAAATAACGACGCGATGAACGATTCACAATCAACTCAACAAAGTCCAGGCGATCCACCTCCAGGTTCTCCAACGGAGTCCTAACTCACAATCCATCCTTCCGATTCAGTTTCTTCAGCAGGAATTCTATTAAATCCATCAGTGGATGTACCCGCTGTGGCTGACCCAGCCCCATTAGATCTCGAGGATGTTGATCAGCCACGAGAAAATCCATATCACTACCCACACATTGGTTCAGCGCCTAGTACTATTAATGATCTTACTGACACTCGTTCTAGTCTATTAACACCAGCACGTGGAATTTTCATAGGGACTATAGTTTACGGTTCTCGCGGGAGTAACTCGGACCAGCTTAGTAGAATGAAAGATGAGCCGAACGGAAACCAAAGATCTGAAGTGATTATAGGCCCGGCCCCCGTTCAACCTGGCCTACCTGGCCCGTTGGGAACACTGACCCGGGGCGGAACTATGACCTTTATGCCCCGCTCGATACTCACCCGCCCAGCGCCTCGGAAAAAAGGAGATGAATTGAGACGTGTCTCAGCCTTCTAGAAGTTAGCCAGTGGTGACATGTCAGGGGTTTTCTTTTTTCCTCCGGGCAAAGATCGACTTGCTGAGATTGTGTACAGTACTCGAGTACACTGCAGTAGAGGTAAGGTGGATATATGGATTAAGCCTTCCGGCCCCTTATATACCCTCCATAGGATGATTACAGGAGGTTGTAATGGTAATTTAAGGTTTAAAGTCAAACCATTCTCACCCCCTATTTTTTTAAAAAAAAATCGGCACACATATGGGTGAGGGCTCCGGATCCGAAACAACCCAGACGACCCAGATCTCGGCATAAAAATTAATGTAAGCAGAATATCGGTGCCAGGACAGGACAGACCAGTCGATAGGGTGCCGAGCATGATAGGGCAGTGAGCATTGGACTACCGCTTACCCAATATGGATGAAATAGGGTGCTTCGCCAGAACAGAACGTTTATTCACTTGCACCACATTTCGCTATCCTGTCGTGCTTAGTACCCTACCAGCCGCTCTACGTCATGCAGCAAGGGAAATCATCATGGGGATGACATCAGACCCGGCTGCGAAAGCATTGGCTCCGATTGATTCCGGAGATACTGCCTGGTAACTCTGGATTAGATGATCGACTAGAAAAGGGAGAAGGGGTTCTCCGCCTTATCTGATGCAATACCACGCAGCAGTTCTGGAGAAGCGCTTGGGGCCTTTTGTGCCACCACCCTTACAGGTCCCTGGCATGAATGGACCGAACACAGGGGGTCCTGGAGTCTGAATTTTGGAGGGCGAAT